ATGTACTATGAGGAATTTTGATTTTCACTTGTTTACTACTAAGTTGTTCTGTGGGCAGTTAGGTGATTTGCAGCTTGCCTCTCTCTCTGGGATGATGGATAACAGAAGCTAAGTTTGTTTCTAGCTGTGATTTGTTCTAGATTGGAGTAACCAGTATTTCAGAAAAATACTCAATCATGCTAGAACTTGGCTGTATTTTCTTATTGAGCTACATCAGTGCTGTAGCATGGGTTTCCTGGGCCAGCCAAGATTCTAGGAGCTGCGCAATTCAAAAGCTTTCTACTGCTTCCATGGCAACCAAAGTTTCATTTTGACTAGAGTGTCCTCAACTAGCAAATCAGTGCTGGGAATGTTCAGGAAAAAGCAGGAAGTTGGGGGGGGGCGCTTACTGCCTTTTAATTAAAAAACAAAAACCCTCTTAACTCAGCTGATTGTACCAATCAGGGAACTGCAAGGATCAGAGGTAAGGAAGCTAAATGGTGCAGTGTTTTCTGCAGGGGGCTGTTTGTCCTTGTCTCCATGTAATTTCCTTCCTTCCACTGAGCTTTTGCTGCTTGCTTTCTAAGTGCTGGATGTGGTCTTGTTCCCCTTGATATCTAGGTACAGTTTTAATAGAACTTGAAGGGGATTCAGTTTTTAAAAGTTTTTGTTTCAAATCCAAATTCTTTGCCTCTTAAAGTGTTTTGACTGCCTAGTTTTATTGTTGTTGATTTTAGGAAACAGGGTTTGTTATGTTGCCTAAACTGGCCTTGAACTTGTGGGCTCAAGTTATGATTCTGCATCAACTTCCTGAAAAACTGTGACTGCAGGCACCTGCCATTGTACCCAGCTTACCCCTAAATTTTAGAAAGTATAGTAGCAGGCCTTGGATTTACCCTGAATAAAAACACTTGCTATCAGGTAAATGGTTAGTGGAGTTCGACTCTTTTCACTTACACACCGTTAAGCTTGCTTCTTTGATCTGGTGGGGTGCTATTGGCTGATGGGACAGGCAGTGCTGGCAGACAGGCTGTGTGATGAGGTTTTCTGGAACTTGCACCACGGGCAGGGGGACAAGTGACATAGGCCTAAGCAGAGCCTGGGCTAGAAAACCTGTGAGGTTCCTGGGAGGGAGCAGAGCCTGTGGCTAGAAAGCCTTGGAGGGACTTTGAGAGCCAGTTCAAATCCAGGCAGAGTTAGAGGCAAGGGTGTCATCTGGCAGAGTATTTTAAGGGGTTCCCTTAGGTATAATATTGAGAATGGACTCCAGGTTTAAGGGTGACACTCTCAGGCCAATTAGAACCCTTCAGTGGTGGCCCAGGCATGCATAGAGGCAGTGGTATGTTGGGGTTCTGGATTCCCTGGAATGCAGAGCCCAGCAGGCTCCTGATGCTTGGCCCTGGTATGAGGTGGTAGACAGAGGTGAGCTAATTCCATTTGAGATATTGGCCTCTGTATACAGTGGCACCTCGGTTCACAAACAATTTTTTCCATGATTCTGGTTGCAAACCGAATTGGACAAGAACTGGATCAAATTTCCCCGTAAGGTCAGCACTGAATCTAATCATTGAATTTGATTCAGTTCTCATCCAATTCAGTTTGCAACCAGAGTTGAGGAAGGATTAAGTTTATGAACCAAGGGCATCACTTGTATGTTAAAGGCTGGCTTGATGGTATTGCATCCTTCATCATCACAACACTAGTGACAGCCAGAGGGACTGTGCTCCCCATCTTTCTATGTGTTTTGCAGATGAGGGAGACCCATGGACAATCTGCATTTAAAGATAGGCTTGTGATCCTTTCTACCACTTCTTTGTACAAGTGCATGTACATTATTGTGCATATACAAGTGTGTGCCTGTGCCACACTGGGTGGCGTAGGGACTACTGGTGAGCTGTGGGCTCTTATGCATGCACATGTGTATGTGCACACACACTGTAACTGAGTGTGACGCCACACACATTTGGGGACAGGACAGTATCTGGTAGAGAAAAACTGAGCTACTGGGGCTAGGGATTTAGCTCAGTGGCATAAGCGCCTGCCTTGGAAGCAGGCGGTCGTGAGTTCGATCCCTGGTACCGATAAAAAGTTAAAAAAAAATTTTTTAAAGTATAAAAAAAAAAACTGAGCTACTTCCAGCTCCTTCTAGAAAATGATCAGGAAGGGAGTTAAGCTGATGCTTTGCAGTCCTGTAGGTAGAGGCTGTTCCCCCTGGTGCTACTGCATGCTTCTTTCCTGAGAGTGAGGTTCTGTGTGTCTGGACCAGTCTTATCAGTGCATGCCCTATCCCAAAAGTCCTTAAGGATTCCTGGTGGCATCCTACAGCTCTGTTGGCTGTTTTCCTTTGCTAGATGGCAAAACAGCTTTCAGAAATGGGTGTGCCAGGCCACTTTGAGTTCATAGTTCCAATCAGCTTCATTCCAGACATGCATCAGGCCCTGAAGGTTGACTGCTGCCCGGGGAATCCTTTTTTGTAGGTCCATAAGAGCTTGGTTCCTGTCTTAGTCACTTTCCTGTCATTGGAACAAAATATCCAACACCCACAACTTAAAGGAGTATATTATTATATTATTTTGGTCCATGGTTTCAGTTCATGTTGGTTTAGCTCTAAGCAGACATGGCATGGTAGGAGAAAGATGTTCAACCAGTGCAGGCAGGAAGAGAGAGAGGCGGAGTCGAGGTGAGGACAGGAATATTCCTCAGGTCCTGTACCTGCTCACAGCACATTCAGTTATGACCTCATGAATGGATACATCCACTGATAAATGTAGCGACATCGTGATCCAGTCACCTTTCAAACACATGAAACTTTGCAGGGACAATTTAGATCTAAACCTTAATTCTTAGTGGGTTTCCTTGCCCTCCTTTGAAGAATGAGCCTGCATATTAGAAGTGTCCATGTCAACGACTAGCAGTACAGTTTCAGCCAGGTCTTTCATGGTGCTTTTCCTAGACTACAGTCAGGCTAGGACGTTTTCATCGGCTTGTTTTCAGGTGCACTGAGCCCATTTGGCAGGTCTCATCCCCTGCCAGCTGGTGGGGTCACCATCTTGCAGTGGATGTGAGAGACCCAAGGATGGTCTGCTAGTGGCTCACCTAGTGTCCTAGGGAACCAGGAAGCCCCATGGGCTGGCGAAGGACCCTTTGGGTTCTACAGTTTACTGCTGAGGAGGTAGGCCCCACAAAGGTAAAGGGACTCACCCAAGGTCTGCCACCTGATTTGTGGCAGTCCTGCTGGGCTGTTTTTGTGCAAACCAGATCCCTCCTCTTCTCCCAGCTTTCTTGCCTGCTCCATCTTTGTTACTTTGAACAGTAACTTTAAAGTTACTTTGTTACTTTTGTCCACCCAGGATGGAGCCTGAGCAGAAAGAATATCAGGAGTCTGGGTGACCTACTCAGGCAGCTGACCACATGCTGCTGGGTAGACCTGACTCTTCTGTCCTGTAGGCCCCTATGCTCTTGTTGCCTCACCAAAGCACACTTCTTGTCCTTTCAGATGGCACGTAGGAATACATCAGTGTATACTACTGTGATTTGTGTGTGTGGAGGGTGCAGTGGCTTTTTCAGGAATTAATTGGTGCTGCTGTTTATGTGTGTCTTGAAATTTACATCCATCGCAGTTGGCCAGTTTCTGAGCATAAAATAAAAAAGTAGTCTTTACTTGTTTGTTGCTGACACACTAGTCTCTGCTTTCTGACCAAAAGAGAAGTGGACCTTCTTGGAACTGTGTGATTATCTTGCTCTTTTCACTGGCAGGCAGAGTTTTCTCAACACTGGCTTTCTTGTTTTAATGGAGTAATTAGGGTTACCCTGACCTCTGAGTTCAGTGCTTGTGAATCTGTGTTTTCTAAGAGTCATGTGGCTTAGGTTGTGATATCGGACACCCAGAGATACAGCATGGGCCCCAGGGTCTTGGGAACAGGGCCGAGCCCCTCCCGTGGCCAGGCAGAGGGATTGATAGCCACCTGTCTTGCACGGAGCCTGCAGCTCTGCTTCCTGGCCAGGGTGATTTAGCCTAGCCCAGGAGGCAGGTCAGCCTTAGGGGAGGTCTTGGTGGAGCTAGGAGCTGTCCAGTATGAAAAGCACCAGTCTTCAGGGGCCAGCCCAAACTGGCACTTGTGGTCAGCAGAAAAGGTATGCTAAAGGAGGGCACATTTCCAGTTATTTCTCAGCAGTGCCCACTGTACTGTGATGTGTTTATCCAGGTTGATCACATCACAAGCCCATCATAGGATCAGGTATGGAGGATACTTTAGAACTGGGGCTAGAGGTTCCAAAGTCCCCTAAGAATGTGACATGTGGGTTGGGAATTTCTGTACCCCGACATGTTATAGGCAGTTTGGTCCTTGGGTACATACTTTTTGGGAGAGGAGTCTATAACTTTCATTTCTTATCAGCAGGGTTTGTAAGTTGAATGTAAAGGGTTCGAGGATCACTGCCCAAGACAGCTGATGGCGAGGACCCCAGCCTCCGTACCGACTCAGAGCTGCCATAGCCAGCCCTGGGTCTTTACTGTCATTATCCATCTCTCTTTCTCACTTTTCCAGGTGGTGCCTAAAGAGTCCCTCTGTGGCTTTTCAGCTGCGCCCCCATCATAATACTGGTGGATTGGGTGGGTACATGCAGGAATACTTATGTCCTGCATGATGCAGAGGTGATGGTGCTACCCTTGGCAAAAGATCAAAAACACTGTTGGGTGTTTTACAGATCCCTCCTCTTCTCCCAGCTTTCTTGCCTGCTCGCTCCATCTTTGTTACTTTTAACAGTAACTTTAAAGTTACTTTGTTACTTTTGTCCACCCAGGATGAACCACCCCTACCCAGGCAAATGGCATTTCTCCAGTGATCAGGTGTCCACTGCAGAACACTGCCAGAGAGGTGGGGCAGGGCAGGCCTGGAGAGTGTCCTTCATGGCAGGGACAGCTCCTGAGGCACACGGGTTCTGTCAGTGGGCGGGCAGCTCGCAGCAGGCTGTGAGGGGGCCCCCACTGACCCTGGCTGGGTGTCTTTTCTCTTTTGCAGATCTTCCAGTCACTCGATGGGGATTCACAGGAAACCACCTGTGTTTGTCACCTTTCCACCCCTCTGTCCCAAGCGAAGTGACTACAGTACCTCTTCATTAATGATGATGAAACTGGTATTGACTGAATGGCGGTTATGGTGAACCAGCCAGCCATATGTTTATGGTCCAGCCAGATACCCTTTGTTTGCCACGTGCCTCTTGCAACTGGGAGGAGCCGAGACATTCATCTATACAAAGAAGATACTGGTGTTGCCTGCCTGAGGAATCTACCTGGAGCAGAACGAGATATCATAATTTATCATTAAAGAGATCTGGTAGTATTATTTATATAGCTAGAAAAAATATATGCATTTTTGTTGCTGTTGTTTTTGTTTTTTGTTTTGGTGGTGTTAAAAATGGCTCCACACAATGCTGACTCGGAATCTATGCAAGTGCAAGAATTACCTGTGCCCCTGCCGGACCCACAGAAATCGGGAGACCTGGAGACTGAGAGCCGTGATGAGACCGTCACTGAGGGGTCTGTAGACCGGATCCCCAAGCGCCTCTGGGTGATGCACGGGGCGGTGATGTTTGGCAGGGAGTTCTGTTATGCCATGGAAACAGCATTGGTCACACCCGTGCTGTTGCAGATTGGTAAGTGCTACCCAGACCACCGTGTCCGGCATGGCGCTGACTATGCTGGAGGTTATGCTCAAGTGTCCTCAGGAGCCTTTACATATGTGGGGGTCCTAGTCCTGACCTTTAACCTGCTCTGATGGTTTTTTCATCCTCTGTTAAGACCAGTCAGGGAGTGTGTGGCCCTCTGGTGTTGATATCTAGTCACAGGTTTTGCTGGACATTTGGAGCATCCATGGCTGTGTGGGGACCCATTAGCACAATGGAGCCCAGCCTTGCGACAGTGCTGGCGATCTTTGTGACCTCCACTGGGGAGTGTCTGCAGGGCCAGAAGTTTTGTCAGAAGGCTTAGCCTTCCCTGTGGTTCAGGAAGTTTTAAAATCTGTAACTTTGCAACTCCTTAGTCCTATAAGACATCTAGGTAAAGGGACTAAGCAATTTAAGAGCTTCTCTTTTATTCTAGAATTCCGTATAGACAAGGTAAAATATTTTAAGAATTAACTTCAGTTATGTAGAGGTGTTTCTTGCCATGAGTGTAACTGTCAGCAAGAGCTGACCCAGACCCATCGCATGTGAACAGCGAAGTACATGGTTCTGAAGTCCGGGGCACTGGCCTCAGCTGGTGTCAGGTCCTGTCTCAGATCTTCAGCTCCTTCCCTGTCCAGGTCTGTCAGCAGACAGGTTGGCTCAAGATGCTTCCAATGCCATGTTTCTGCCTGCTCTCTTCTGTAGAGTCCTGTGCATTTCCTTTACTTCCCCCCAAAGCCCTTGATCGAAGAACTCACTTGTCAGAGGGTTTCTTCTCTTGTGCCTTAGCCTGGTAGAGGAGATAGAGACAATTGACTAGCTCCACTGGTGCTACTTTAAAAGTAACAGGAGGGAAAGAAACAAAGAGCCCCCCCCCCCGGGAGATGAAGACACCAGCTTCTCCCAGGAGAGGGACAAGACAGCATGGTCAGGGGAGGGTCTCTGTGTGTCCAGGGGCTGAAAGGTTGCCTTTGTAGCCAGCCCCTGCAAGGAGAGGCTAGGTTGTGGTCAAGGTCATCTCACATTTATTTTGTCCCTTCGATGTGTAAGGATTTGCACCCAGTCATGCTCAAACCATTGTGTAACAAAGCTACTGTATTTTTTTTTGGTACTGGGGATCGAACTCATGTCCTTGCACTTGCCAGGCAGGCACTTAAGCCACTGAGCTAAATCCCCAGCCTCATTGTGTAACAAAGCTAAGGTGACTAGAATCAGGCTCACCCTGATTCTGGACCTCATCTCTTGGGGTTATGGGGACAGATAGAAAATCTAGGTGACTGTTGACTTCTGGTGACTGTTGAGTGAGTTGCCCAGTAAATAGATCTGAGCCCCACATTTTCTTTGTCATGGGCATGTATATTATGACTTTGAAACTGACAGGCACAACTCCTTGGAATCTTCACATTTTGTGGGTTGTGAGCCTCAGCCTGTACAACTTTCAGCACACTTCACCTTTGACTTTGAATACAGTAGGTCTCCAAGTTATGAGCATTTGAGTTGTGAGCTTTCAGGGGCGTGCTCTGAGACTCACTTTGTCAGATTACAAGCAAACTCTACTTATGAATAAATGTTCTCCCAGAATGGAGCTCACTCATTAGTTGTGAATTACTGTATTTATTACATGAGACTTGTGTGATCGCAGGTAACTGAGACTAGTGAGTGTGCGTTTTACTATGTAATTGAGAAAGTATATTGAAAGTATCTTTCCTGAGTTCTCTGATTTTTTTTTTTTTTTTTTTTTTGAGACAAGGACTTGCTAGTGGCTGAGTTGCCTGTACTAGGCTGAAATTGTTATCCTACTGTCTCAGCTTTCCAGGGTGCTGAAATGACAGGCATGCACCCTCAGTCCTGGATATACATTTGTGCTTTAAATAATGGGGTGAAAGCGAATCTGCTCTTTTCTCTTTCAAAAGATTCCGCAGGGGGGAACTTTCCCATTAAAAACTTAAAAAAAGAAAACACCAAGAAGTGGTTTAGCTCAGACTCTGCCACTATGAAAGACAGTGGGAGAGTTGTGCTCAGTTCAGGAGTAGTCAACTGAGAGTGTGCAGAACATAGCCCATCGCTGACCATTCTCTGAAGGTAGAAACCCTGTAACGATTGGACTAGTCCCAGGCGATAAGTTGTCTTCTGTTCTTTTTGTCAGTGATAACACTGCTTGACGAGTCTGGTTAAGGGCTGTGTTCATCACTGCCTCCCCCACAGTGACTTTTGAAAACATAAGCTGTTGGGGTGCCCATGTCAAGGAAGTCTCCTGCTCACTGCCTGTGATCTTGTGGCTGTTGGGGACCAGTGACTGGTGACATCTGTGTGGCAGGCTGCTTCCTAGGCCTGAGAGGAAGGAGGAAACGGATATGACCTTGGGAGCAGGGTCAGGCCCTAGCAGGACTGATTCCCTTTCTGGGTCCTGCATGCCTGGGATCTGGCTGGCCGTGAAGGGACAAGATGGTTGCACCAGAGGGCAACCTGTGCATGCAGGTAGGGATGGTCAGCACTGTCAGGTGAGCAGGCTGGGTGTGGCACTCAGAGCAGCCTCGCCTTTGGTTTCCAAGTCTTCACTTGTAGAGGAAATACTTTAAGTTTTTCTTTCCTTTTTTTCCCCTTTGTTTCCTCTTCTCTTCCTTCCCTCCTTTTTTTCCCTTTCCCTTTTCTTTCTTCTTTCTCTTTGCAGCCCTGTACCCCCATTCTGGGGATTGAACCCAAGGCCTTTTTTTGGATATAGGATCTCACCGAGGCTGGCCTTGAGCTTGGGTTCTTCCTGCCTCATTTGATCTGTTTTCTTAAATTGAGAATATTTTCCCCCAGTTCCGAGTTCAGAAGTTATCCTCAGGTGCACAGCAAGATCTCTTCCTGTGCCCCAGTGACTTGGCTCCCATCCTGTTTCTCCTGACTCGTACATGGAGCAGAAGCCAGGCAGATACCTTTGTGCCTCATCACTGTCCCCAAGAGTGACTGTTGGGAAGCATCCCTAGCATAGCATGGAGCTCTTTCCATGCCAGAGCTCAAAGTTTGCTCTCTTTAACTTTGAGAGTGGCCTGTTAATGTGCACCTGGCAGTGGGCCTACGTGACCATGTCCTGGAGTTTCCTTGACTGGCCATGGTGCTGGGTGTCCCTCCTTGTGTTAGTTACTCTCTCATCACAGGAACAAAGTATCTGACACTCACAAATTGAAGGGGGAAAGGTTTATCTTGGCTCATAGTTCATAGAGATCGGCTGGCTTCAAGGCTGGGCAGCATGATCGATGGACATGACAGAAGGACAGAAGAGAAAGTTTCTGGCAGAAAACAGTAAGACTTCCTTCTTCTTTCTGTTTTTATGCCATCCAGGCTACAAATCTCTTGGTTCGTGCCACCCACATGTAGGGTGGGTCTTCCCTCTTTAGTAAATCCATCATCCACACCCAGGAGTATGCTAAGCCAATCAGTGGACAAATTCAGTAAACACAATCATGATCCAGTATCCCAAACCCATGATCCAGTCAACTCCCAAAAGCCCTACCTCTGAGCACATGATACTTTAGGGGATATCTATATATAAGCCATAACATTCCTTCAGTCAGTACCCTGCTTCCTTACCTGTTTGAGGGGCCACTGTGACTGGGGCTAAATTTCCATACCATTTATTGAATGCTTCATCTTTTAGAAGAGACTTCTAAAAATAAATGTGTTCTTAGGTCTTAGGCACTAGGATTGAAGTCAGGGCAATCAAAGAAGCAGCAAAAATTCTGTTTTGATTTTGTTTTTGTTGGTGCCAGCGTGGTTTTTGATGGTGGGACCTACAGCCCTGCTCTGGAGAACAGAGGAGGTGAGGCTTGACCCTGGGAACCCATGGCAATGTCTGGAAGGCAGAGGCAGGACCCTGAGAAGTTCCCCAGTACACACAGCTTCCCTCCACAGCCGGTGGGGGTACCCTGACATTTACACATCACTGCAGTTGTAGAGCAGGTGATGAATCTGGTAGCTCAGAATTAGAATTAGAATTCATGGCCACTTGTAATAGGAAGACTTGGAAGCAGAGGGCTCTGGAGCCCTCCAGGTAACCCCTGCACAAAACCCAGCAACTCTGAGTCACCTTGCCTCAGTGGGCTCCATCCTGTGCTGGTTCCTATGTTTGTAGTCTTTTTCCCTTGAGAAGGAGAATCCAGCCTCTTCCTCTACTTCCTGTTTCCTTCTTGGCTCAAGAAGTACACTCGGGGAAAAGGAATGTCAGATAACAGAGAAAGGACAGCTTTGGTTGCTTGCTCGAGGTTTGATCTATGAATGAGAGCTAGATTAATGTGAGGTAACCTGCCTGTTCCCCTCCTTTCCAAAAACCAAGCACAGCAGCATCTAGGAATTACCAGGCAGTGGCTGCAGACTGACTTATGGGAAAGTCAGACTAATTCTCTGCTGTGTGCAGAAGGCAGGGATCATGACCATGGCTTATGTCTACTTTGTGAATGTCTACTGAGTGAGAAACACCAGACTTTTCCACGATGCATGGTAGTGTCTTGTGATCAGAGTTCCTAGGGCATGGTCTGCTGTAACTGGAAGCTTGCCTTTGCTCCTATGGGAAAAGCTTGCCCTTTGGAAGCCACTTACAGCAAGCACTAGAAGTGGAAAATGCATTCCATGTGTGGTTCACACCCCATTCCTGGATGTGTAAGCCATGGCCATTGGAATTCTAGTGGCAGCAGTCTCCCATGAGTCACCTGCAGGATCTGGGCCCAAGCCCAGCCATTCCTGGAAACCATCTCCAGAGCCAGCCACTTGTTAGCTAGCTTCATATCTAAATCCACAAACATGACAAGTCTTTTGATAAAAAATTGAGAATAACATACCTTCCTGTACTGTGTGAAATTGTGTCTCATTATAGTGTGTGCACATGTGTAGGTATACACATACAATAGATATGTAAGGTGTCCTCATGATTTTTGAGCACTTGAATTTTATTTTAAACTGAGACTGGTAACTGGATTTTGTATTGTTGTAGCTTTGGCTTCAGAGTCAGT